AAGTAACTTTGTTCTTTCTCTCTTCTTTAACTTCCATTCGTGCCACCTGCTATCAGCATTTCCGTACTACCGTCTGTACACCTGTCGAAACTGTGCGAACTAGGTCCAAATTGACTCCCCTTCAGGGAGAGTCTAGTTTGCCACTTGTCATCAGTGTTTCCATTCTGCTGCCTGTACTCCTACCGAATTTGAACGCTCAGTGTCCACGGGAAGAGGTGTTATGAGCTGCCAGTCAAAGATACGCCGACCTACACACCGTTGCACATACACAGGACTATCATCACTTCTTAGCTTTTTTTCGTAAAAAACAAGTAGTGAGTAGTTTCTCCATATCGAGTAATACAAATCGAGAGTGGTTAATATGGGTTGCAATGATCGATCGTTGTGTTTACAGCTATTTTCTTTTGATGTTTCATCAACGTCCTCGGAGTTGAAATAAGGAAACAAACTGGCCACTGATAGGTCATTCACACGACAGGTACAGCAAATCGGTGTATCGTCAACATCCCCATAGCGTAAACCCTACCACATGAATACCCTGAAAAGAGTCAAGCTATGGGTTGACGGTGTATAATGTGGAAAGTTTCCGAACAAGATTACCGGTCCGGACTCTGGTTCCTCAGCCCCACCCTTGACAGCGCTTGTCACCCCCCTTACGGACCGAGCTCTGCAAGCCTTATATACGCTCTGTCCATTGATCTTGGCCTATTCACCCACCCATCCTACTTGGCCCAATCTCTTCAGACTTTCTTATCGGATTTCGCGACGCACAAACATGCATAAATAAGTACAAAAGACACATCAAACCTGTGGATTAATATAGTAGGGATAGTCTCTGACAACTTTTCCTCCTCTTCTAGGAAGCCTTCGAGCAGAGATGAACTTTTGATCCTAGCGCCCCTCACCCCAATGCAAACTTTGCCCTTTTTGGAGTTTTGACCACATATGTTCTGTAACCTCCAACCACTTCTTCCCCGCGTGCTAGGACGTTCTTGAACAAATTTATTAATTTTTGATCTTAGCCCCGCCCACCTCCGTGCAACTCCGCCTACTTTGAAGCTTTGATCACATATCTTCTAAGGTTACGCCTGCTCAGCACGTGTTAGTTCTTTGTTACTCCCTTTATTTTTTTCTGATCTCGACGCCTTTGTTGAATCGAGTTACGTGTCATCTGGGAAGTACCGCCCTTTTTGAAGATACTCCGCCCCCAACAGTGGGTCTCCTTCTTCTAGTTTATCTCTATCCTTCTAGTTGTTGACTCTATCCTCACATTTGTCTATTTTTTCCAGTGTTTGGACCTTTTCAAAGCCAAAACAAGACGTTTGGCTCGGATTATATATAGTAAGGATACCCAGGCTCCATGATAGTGCAGCCATTCGGAACGCGACTATGCACAAACTCGATCCCCTACCCTTGCCTGCTTGTGTGCCCAGTGGATAGAAGATTTCGTGTTCCCCAAATGTACCATGCATAAATTCAAGATCTTTGAAAGCATCGCAAGCTCATAGACCTGACGATCCACAGCACATACCTTATGCTGGATTCGTTTTATTATTGAGACGCACTTCCGATGTGCAGCTAGAATAATGTCCTTTTTTCCAGGTAATTCGATCGCTGGTCAAATCGAAGACCTACTGGGAGGAAGCCGAATGGGGATCCCTCCAGGAAGTAATCAGTGGCAAAGTGGGCAGTGGACAGGAGGGCAATGGGGACTTCCACAGGGAGGTAGTCCATGGGGCGGTGGTCAGTGGGGAGGAGGACCGTGGGGACAAGGGCGCTGGGGATTCCCACAAGGAGGTGACCGACAGAGGGTAGTTTCACGAGGAAGGAGTCCATCGAGAGGTAGACAGAGAGCCGTTCAAACAGGGGGAAGTCAGAAACGACGTAGCAGAAGTAGAAATGGCCGACGGAGATTCCAGATGGCGATGTTTCCTGCCATAGGAGGAAGTAAAGCATAAAGCATAAGGTAAGACGTCGTCAGTAACAACTATTCGTTTTGCTCAGTACAGCAACCATTTTTTTTTCGCGCTCTTCTATTAAAATCCCCATCGAATGAGTTTTTAAATTCTCGTGCTGCTCCAGCGCTAAGTGAAAAAATATCCCTTATTTTGCGGATTCAACAATCGTTCCTATAGAATCGAATACTCACTTGTCTGTTAATTGAACGTAAAAAAATTTGGTTACCATCCAGCATTAACTTAGTGAGGGTTGTGATTTTGTTGCGCCCTACAAACCTACAACTTTCTCATGCAGATTGCTTCTTAGGTGATTGTTCAAACGTCAATATGATCCTAAAAACTTTGGCACGCCTCCGAGTCGCTGGAATCCTAAATAACTGAATTAGCTGTTTATTTGATACTTATTTAAAGAATCAGTCCACAAGAAAAAAAAAACTCCCTGAGATTCCTCACTGCATCGAATCTCTAGCTATAAATAATAGCATTTGGGCTGTTGTCGGAGCCAGAAACGTCCTAGATATTACGTTTCTGTCGTCAAGAAATAAAGTAGTGAAAGTGGAGCTTGTACGAGATCACCGTAACGGGAATGGCATGTAAGGGGTGTTTGGACAAGATTTAACTTGCTCTCATTGCGTAAAGAGATGACTACATTGAGCCGAAACTTTGTGAATTTGCCTTTCACTGTCGCCATGGGTTATGAAGAGTTGTCTAAACTTCTTACATGGGAATCTCTTATGATAGTGCAACCTCTACAATGCCTTCGAGACTCGTCCACTGTGGGTGTGGCGTTCACAGGATACAACCTCTGGCCCCTATCTGCGCCCTGTCAAGGACGTTTTCCCAATAAGAGCAGGTATGGTATAAGGGGGAGCCTCGAACTGTGCCTTTGAGACGCGTGAAGTGGCACGCACGAATGAACAAGGAAATGAAAGTGAAGAAGATCTTGAAAGTATTCTGGTAAGCCGCTAGAATTGAGATACTATAAGAAGAGTTCAAAAAACCGCATCAAATTTATTGCAATATAAAAGCCAGGTTTTTAGCCAGCTCATGGAAGAATTCAAAATACTTCACTGATTAATCTGAGAGAACCTTAACCCCAACCAAAATTTGATAAAGTCAGAGAACGTTACTTTTTCTTACTTGTCGCATCCAGCTCCCTACATTGCAAGAATCGAGGCCTCAGCTTGCACATCTACTTTATTGTACAAAAGTTTTTGATGTCCTCCCTATATCATATTGCTATTCAGAACCCTGCTCAAAATCGTAAGAAATGGTGTAAGAATCTGAGTTGTATAATGTCCTCAGATTCGAATCAAAGAAGAAGATAATGTATGCGTCGCCTCACAGCAGTTTGAAGCTTAAAAGTTTTTTATCTTGCTCCACCGCTTCCACATATTCCTATTGAATGAACTTCCTTCTTCTCCCTTTTTCTTGCATCCGTGCGCCTTTCAAAAAAGGAATGTTGGGTTTCAGGTAGTTATTGATATCCTTGCATTTTACGACTGTCTTATGCAGCAATCCAATAAATGAGTAAATGTCGGTATGCTCCTCGCAAAATTTGTTCGGGAAGTTTTCATTCAGTTTCCTGCATATTTCCAATTTCCGTATTTCATGAGAATGCTCAATAGGAAGCGTCATCTCATCATAGAAACTACCATCAAATTTTTCTACGTGAGCCTACATCCGTTATACATTGTGCGCCCCGATCTTCTCCGCGTCACTTTTTTAGGAGCTTCATTGACGGGATGTTTCAAACGTGAAACCGATAATTTCCTA